GGAATAGTGCCTAGAGGTTCAATAAATACCCACTGAATGAATAAAYCCATCCATCAAAAGTGATGATGTCACACTGAATCCCAGGGCCTATTTCTGAGCTCCTCGCTAGCCTTCATCTCTCKGCTCATTGATCACCACTCGCCAGCCAAGGGCAGCAGGAGCCGGGGCTCAGGGAAGTATGTGCAAGGGCCATCTTGTTCTTAATTGGAACTACCAGTTAAAGCATCGTTCTCTGTGAGGCTGGAGATGGTGCTGTGTGAATTGGCTCTCCCTGGCACCCCTGAGGCCTTGGGTTAGATTCCCAGCACTGGCTGAAAACCAAGCAAAACAGGGGGATGAGAAGAAGAGCAAGAGGAAGAGGAGGCATGGACATGGATCAGAGCCCAAGGAAGGCTGCCTTCCCTGGTCCCGCTTGGTCTGCTCCTAGGGGCAGAGAGACTGGAGACCACAACTGTGGGGGAGGAGAGCTGGGACTGGGAGTGGGCCCTGGGAGTGTCCTGGGTGAAGTCCACTAGAGTTGTAGGCCACAGCTGGCCCACCTTCCCAATGCTTAGGAGATGCAAATAATGGGAACAATAGGCCCCTGTACCGAGGCCACCAGTCACAGATCCTGGGTTCCAGGGAGGTAGAGGTCCTGTACACTGCCATGGTGAGAGTTGGTGGTCCCAGGGTAGCCTCAGCACACAAGCCTGTCCGTGCTAGGGGCCAGGGCACGAGAGGCACTTGCTAGGCTGACTACCCGGCCCCTTCCCTCTGGCTCTTTCCAGGAGGAGCGYAGGAGCAGCAGCAGCAAGCCCAAGTGAGTACCAGGGAGGGCTCTCCATTCCCTTGCTTCCACTTTGCCCTACCCTCTGCAAAGCACCTGCCCCAGGGGCAGTGCTGGGTCTACACCACTCCAAGGACCCTACCTGTACTCCCACCCTCTGTCACCCCACTCCAAGGACCCTGCCTGTACTCCTACTCTCTGTCACCCGTGGGCCAACTCATCTACCTTTTCACCCTGAGGGCACTGGCTCTGTCCCCAGCCTCCTGCTCTTGCTGCCCTAGTGCCAGGGGCATGGTGTCCTACAACTCTAGGGCACTCACACTGTTACATGCGAGAATGTCCTAGAGTGCCAGGTCTAACTGACAGGAGCTCAAAAGCCCCCTGAGCAGAGTTGACTGCAGTCTGCTTGCAGGTTGGGGCCACCCCTTCCACCCCCCAGATGTGTGGGTAAGTGACGGGAATCCCACAAGTAGGGTGTCCCCTAGGGCCCCCAACACCGCATCACTGGGACCCGGCTCTCCCACCTGTCTTGGCCAACATCTGCAGCACAAGGGCAGAGGACTAGCCCAAGTGGGACTGTGCCTGGGAGCCTTGTTTCCAAAATGCCCACCCATGGCCTTCAAAACGACCTCATGGCTCTGCCCTGCCATGGTGCTGTGTTCCTTTAGTTAAAAGGATGGAGAGGGGGTTACTAGAGGAGGGTGGACTGGGAGGAGGTGAGGCCTGTCTATCTGTTCAGATGTCTCAGCTTGGAGAGATGTGCTGGGCCCCTCTCCTCTGTCTGCCCCAGAGACCTGGAGACACAGGGTAAGTCCAGCTGCTGAGGCTGGGGTGGGGCAGGGGGAAGCAGGCAGAAGCTACTGGGGTCCTGGACCTACTCCATCCTTCCCTATCCAGCATCCCTTCCTAAAGGCCCGAGAAGAGGACGATGAGGAGGACAAGTATGAGCTGCCCCCCTGTGAAGCTCTGCCTCTCAATCTGGCCCCTGCGACCCGTCCTGGAGCGGAGGAGGACTCCCTGTACCTGGGTGAGGGCCGGCAAGTGAAGGCGGGAGGCGCCCACAAGGGAAGACCCTGAGTCCTTGCCTCTTCTCCCGGCCTGCGCAGGCACTGAGGGGAGCCGCCCTGGCTGCGGGGCCTCCGGGCCAGGGGCAGGGGCTGGAGAAACGGAGCGGGGAGGCGGGAGAGGGAGAGCGAGCGCGTGAACGAGGCGGCCGCAGGAGGCTGGGACCCCGGCCACGCCCTGGGGGCCGGGTGCCCTCCAGCCCGCAGTGCACCCTGCGCTGGCCTCCCACTGCGGGCTTCAGCGGCGGGCCAGGGAAGCTGGCCTTCTGGTTGCCATGGCGACGGGGATGCGCGCAGCCTATGAGGGAGGGGAGCGGGCGGGGGCGGGGGAGAACCGAGGGGGGGGCGGCGGAGGAAGCCCGGGCCCTGCGGAGGAAGCCCGCCCACGAGCGGGGGGTCTTTTACAGATCGCCCCGGCCCTGGGGGCCCTTCCAAGCCATCGCCCCKGCCTCGGCCTGCCCCGGCGAGCGGCCTCCCCGCAAACGCCTCTTTCCCCGCGCGCGCCTCCCCCGGCCCGCGTGTCCCGGTGAGTACGCGCGGCACCTCGTCGGCAGGCTCGCCCACGTTTGCACTAGAGGCCTCTGAAATGTAGGGGCCAAGCTCGGAAGACAGAGCCCATAACGTGGGTCGCCGTCGTCCCGCCCCTGGTCCCTTCCTGTGCCCATCGCTTCAGCAGGACACCCGCTCCTGCTCCCACAGCTTGCCCAGGCTGGGACAGGAGCCAGCTCCGTGGCCCTCCTGGACCTGGGCCTGAGAACCCTGCTCAGGGAGTGAATCAGCCCTCTCTCAGCTGCTGGTCACTGCCAGCCCCCACTCCGAATTCCATCTGGGTTATGGATTTGAAAGCTACCACTTTCATTCTGTATGTAAAAATGGAATAAAAACCAGGAAGGGYGTGGCCACAGAGGAGAGCAGAGCCAAGTGTGGTCCCTTAGTACCTTTCTTCTTGTGTCTGGTGGCGGTTTTTAAGGCTGCAGGGATGTTAYACTGGCCATCCAGGCAGTCCATCCCTGCCTACCCATGCCTCAGTCCCTCCTCCCTCCTCCCTCACGAGCCCCATTGTGCCCACAGCTGAAGGCAGCAGCGAACCTGCAGGTGGCATCAAAGCAGGCACCTGACTTTGGGAGGCGAGGTAAGGGGAGTCCTCTCTTTCCTGGCTGCATCCTGGGAGGGGAGTCCTCGCCCCCCACGGAGTAGAATTGAGCTGGCTCATCACCTTCTCAGCTGCCCCTCCTTTCTACCTGCCAATCCCCAGAGGTAGGGAGTCTAGGTAGGCAGTGAGCAAATGGCCTAGACTCCAGCCCTGTCTGCACCTGGAGTAATCTCTGGGTCAGTTGAGGGACACCCCACAATGAAGTGGTCAGTCTTGAGGGCCTTCTACTGAGACATCTGAGCCAGTCCCTATAAAGGGCATTCTATTTCTGCCTGTAACCATTGCCACCGCTGTGGAAGCAGRCAGAAGCTACTGGGGTCCTGGACCTACTCCATCCTTCCCTATCCAGCATCCCTTCCTAAAGGCCCTAGACTARCCCTTATGGTCCATTGCCCTGAGTTCTGTTGACCCAGAACCCTGGGAGGTCAGGATASGGAGGGACCTCGGGAAAGAAGAGGCCTTGCAGGGTGACCTTCTCCTGCTCAAGGCCAGCACATTCCCCTCTACTGTGCTCACTGGTTGCTAAACCCTCCAGACCTTGAGAGTGGCTTTGCTTTTTGGACCAGCCCAAAGTCATCTGGAGCCATKCCTGGCAAATGGGTGGGGAGGGCAAGCTGGACACCCACAGGGTTGGGTAGAGCATGGCTTTCCCTGGAGCTTTGAAGCTGGTTCTGAAGACCCTCTGCAGAGACCTCCCAGGGTTCTCACCCTCTCCCCGCTGGTTCTCTCTTTTTCCATGCAGAGTGGGGTGCACCCGCCAGAGTGGTGAGCTGCCCCATCCCCACCTCCATTCTAGGGTTCTGGCTGGAAATCCACTTGGGTGGGTGGSCCTGGGAGGGCCAGGAAAGATCCCTGAAACTAGGGGAAAGGCCCAGTGCCTCAGGCCCCTGGCAGGTGTGGGATTGCTGTCCTGAGGGCCTCCCAGCACCTGCACTTCCTGTGCTGTCTCTGAAGGGGAGGGGCTTACAGGATGCCCCTCCCAGGCAGAGGAGCACTCTTGACCACTCAAGCTGATTTCTAGAAAGGGCCACTGGTGAGAAGAGAGTGAGGTGCCCGAGCCTCCCCCATTACTGCCTCCTTCCCTGCCCCGCCCCACTGCTTAGGTCAGAGGCCCCCTCCTCCTAAAGTGAACCCCCAGGGCTGGCCACCTACACCCCTCCCTACCCTAGGTGCCAAGCCCTGTGAAGAAACCTGAGGAGGACATCTACCTGGAGTGTGAGCCTGACCCAGGTGCTGCTCGGTTCCCCCCAGACCATCTAGTCCTGCTGCATCCAGCTGTCCCCGGCAGGCTCCCTCTCCTGCCCCATCTTCTCCCCACCCCCCAACACACAGTTACCCTCAGACACCACAAATCTCTTTGCTTCATGGCCCAGGCTGACCCACCCTGTTTCTACCGGGAGGTGACCCCACCCGCTAGAGCAAGGTCTGGGTGGATCTCTCAGCCCTGCAGCCAGGCAAGCCTTGCCCTCAGGTTGGAAGGACTTCCAGAAAGCCCTACTGCAGAGAAGCCGCAGGCCCTGCAGCTGTTGCAGCTCCTCCCTGACCCACCRCTTGGATTTCCCAGGCTGCTGCCCATCCAAGCCCAGCCTGCCCTCTCTGTTTCAGTTCCGGCCTTGACTCGGACTCTGAGCTCTCAAGTCCTGCTGCCCCCAGTCCCTCTGCCAGTGACACCTGTGGTGCCCAGGTGAGTGCCCCACCAGATACACGGGCACATGCCTGAGAGCAAGCAAGGGGACACCAATTCAGGCTCCCCCAGCCCTGATGCAGTGTCCTGGGGTTGCTRGCAGGGGTGACAGGAGCAGTTGGGAGCTGGGTTTACTGGGGTGCTACTCATGACATGATAAAGACCTGAGTTCTGTCCCCAACCTGCTCCCTGCAGGCCTACCATAACCCCCCAGGAATCTCGGAAGGTAGGAGGCTAGTGGTCAAGGGGGGTGTGAATGTTGGGAGGGAGGAGCAGGAAGACTTCAGGAGAGGGGCAGGCTAACCAGACCTCTGCTGTCCCAGGGAGCAGCAGATGCCACCTCCAAAGGTGAGTACATCATGTTGGGGCACAAACCAGCAGACCCCAAGGCCCCAGGCTCTGTAGGCCCAGACTCCCTCCCACCCCTGGAGACTCGTTCCCACTTCTAAGACTCCCCCAGCCATGAAGGCCCCACTTTGCTGAGATCAGGCCTGAGCGGACCCTCTTGGGCATTTTCCAGGATCTGCGCCAAGTGGGGAAGCCAAGATTCCTCCTCACTTGGGAGTTACACAAGGGCTGGCTGGTAGGTCCTAACAGGGCACAGACCTACCCACAGGGGAGCATGGGGTGCCCTGCGGTGGGCCTCAGGACTCCTCCCACTCCTGCTCCTGCCCTCACACCTGAAGTTGTGCCCAGAAGCTGCCTTTGCCCAACCCCCTCCCAGCCCCAGCTCTATAGTGGCTTTTTCCGGCAGGAAGGAGATTGTCTCTTCCCTCCAGAGGCCCCCCCAGGAGCACCTCCTCTGCTCAGGTGAGAGGGGCTGGCAGCTGACTGTGGTGGAGGCCAGCAGGGAGCAGACCTCTCCTGGAGCCCTCCTGGGCAAGGCAGCTGCTCCACCAAGATCATTCACTGAGCACATGTGCAGTGCCCTGTGGGTGGGACAGTATTGAGCATGCGTGTGGTACCCAGCTGTGCAGCAGCACTGGCGCTTGGCTCTACRTGTGGGGCTCAGTCTAGGGTTGAGACATGTCAGCCCCAGCATCCTCTGYACCCCCCATGCCATCCAGTGCCCACACGTCTCTGAGTGGCTGTGTGTGTGCATGCAGGATGGCAGCCTGCTGGGCCAGCCATGGTATGCAGGGAACTGTGACCGGCTTGCTGTTGAGAGGGCCCTGCTTCGCTTCCAAAAGGTGGGCAGCTGCAGGTCCCTGGCCTTCTCCAAAATCCCTTCTGCTCACAGGCTGTGGCTGGCTGAGCAGACGGGAGCAGGAGACCGGGTAGTTCTGGCCCTCCTGAGTTAGGGCTGCGGTGGGCAGTTGAAGACAAGGCCCATGGCTGAATTCTCTCCACAGGATGGAGCCTACACAGTGCGCCCAAGCTCAGGGCCTCACCGCTGTCAGCCCCTCACCCTGGCGGTGCTCCTCAGAGGCCGGGTGTTCAACATTCCCATCCGGCAGCTGGAGGGCGGGGGCCACTATGCTCTGGGCCGGGAGGGCAAGAGCCATGAGGAGGTGAGCTGGAGGAGGCAGGGCGTCTGGGCCAGGGGACAGATCACGGTGCCCGCCGAGGCCTAGCCAAGAGCACGTGCCAGGGGAACCCACAGTTCACATTTTCCTGGGGTGGGTAAAATTGACAGCAGCCCAAGCCTGACCTTCCTCAGAGACACCTGGCACTTTGGGAAGAGGCCTGCCCCTTTTGCCAGGACTCAGTCTGCACAGGGTGGGGCTTTGTGCCTGTCCTGAGTCCTGTGGGCAGAGGGCAGAGTCCCAAGAGCTGACCCATACCAACTTGCGCCCAGGACGCAACTTTGCACCCAGTGTTTGCAGGGGTGTAGTCCAGAGGCAGCCACCCACCACTCAGCTCCCCATACCAAGGAGCAGGCGGAGGCAGGCCACCAGTGGTTTCCCTTAGTCTGGCCACTGGGAGCCCATGGGTGCAGTCACAGGGAAGTCACAGAAGCTTGTCGGGACTGGGCTGCAAAATGACAGTGGAGCTTCAGGGGCCACACGAGAAGGAAAAATACCTGGAGAGGTGTCAACACGCCCCCTGGGCGGCCACAGCTGCCTCGAGAAGCTACTGGCAGCACAGAGCTCAGGGACTCATGGATGCCCTGCCTCCCTCCGCAGCTCTTCCCCTCTGTGGCGGCCATGGTCCAGCACTATGCAAAGCATCCGCTACCTCTGGTGGACAGACACAGCGGTGGCCGGGAGCTCACCTGCCTGCTGTTCCCCACCAAGCCCTAAGTCTACAGTGGAGCATACCCATACCCGCCGCCCCCCCCCCCGGCCCACAGTGTGCCCCTAGACCCCCATCACCCAAGATGCCTTCGGGTCTCTTCCCCATCTCCAACATATGGTCTCTGCAGGACCCAGATAAGAGGCACTGACAAAGGTTGGCTAGAGGGAGGAAGAGGCTGCCACCATCCCTCCCTGCAGCACATCCAGGGCAAGCATAGCAGCATCTGCCCTGTGTACTAGGCCACTTGAGGTGTCCTAGGTGGAGGCAGGATGGTGGCCCCAAGAGGGTGACCTCCTCAGGGAAGTTGAGCCACAAGGAAGCTGTGAACCACCTCACAGCACTGCTGGGACAGCAAAAGGAATCCCCTCACATTCTCTTGGGGACATAGCACCTTTGTAAAGGGCCTAGGTCACCCTGCACTTAGTACCCTCTCAATAAACATTTGCTGGATGAATTATTTTSTACTGGGGATTGAACCCAGGGGCACTCTAYCACTGAGCTACATACCTGGCTTTTAAAAAAATTGTTTTAATTAGTTATACATGACAGTAGAATGCATTTATGCACTTTGATATATCATACATAGATGCAATATAATATGTGAAATGAGAATTTATATATATATCTATATAATGTTTAATATATATAAAATGAGAATTTTTCTGAATGTATGTGTTGCAGAATCACAATGGTCATGCTATCACATATATACATAAAGCAATAATGTCTTTTCTTTCTACTATCCTTCCTATCCCCACATCCCCTCCCCTCCCCTCCCATCACTATTCTTCTCTAGTGCCCCCCCTCCTTATTGTGAATTAACATTAAAGAAAACATTTGGTCTTTGGTTTTTTTGGGATTAACTTATTTCATTTAGCATGATATTCTCCAACTCCACCCATTTACTGGCAAATGCCATAATTTCATTCTTCTTTAAGTCTGAGTAATAATCCATTTTATATATATAYTACATTTTCTTTATCCATTCATCTATTGAAAGACACCTAGGTTGGTTCCATAGTTTAGCTATTGTGAATTGAGCTGCTATAAACATTGGCTTGGCTGAATTAATGTAGTATGCTGATTTGGGGTATAAACTGAGGAGTGAGACAGCTGGGTCAAATGGTGGTTCCATTCCAAGATTTCTAAGGAATCACCCTACTGCTTTCCATAGTAGTTATACCAATTTGCAGTCCCACTAGCAATGTATGAGTGTACTTTTTTTACCTACATCCTCACCAACATTTATTGTTGATTGTATTCTTGATTGCCATTCTGACTGGAGAGAGATGGAATATTAGTGTAGGGTTTTTTTTTAATTTTTTTATTCTAATTTGTTATATATGGCTGTAGAATGCATTACCATTCGTATTACACATATAGAGCACAATTTTTCATATCTCTRGTTGTATACAAAGTATATTTACACCATTTGTGTCTTCATACATGTACTTAGGGTAATGATGTCCACCTCATTTCATCGTGGATTTTACATCCCTTGCCCCCTCCCTTCCCTTCCCATCCCTCTGCCCTAGCTAGAGTTCGTCTAATCTTCCCATGCTCCCCCTCCCAACCCCACTACGAATTGGCCTCCTTATATAAGAGAAAACATTCAGCATTTGGTTTTTTGGGATTGGCTAACTTCACTTAACATTATATTCTCCAACTCCATCCATTTACCTGCAAGGAATCTCCATACTGCTTTCCATAGTGGCTGCACCATTTTGCAGTCCCACCAGCAGTGTATGAGTGTGCCTTTTGCCCACATCCTCTCCCATACTTATTGTTGTTTGTATTCTTAATAGCTGCCRTTCTGACTGGAGTGATATGAAATTTTAGAGTAGTTTTGATTTGCATTTCTGTAATTGCTAGGCACGTTGAACACTTTTTCGTATATTTGTTGGTCGATTGTACATTTATTGACTGGGTTATTTGTTTTTTTTTGGTATTAAGTTTTTTGAGTTCTTTATATATCCTAGAGATTAATGCTTTTTTGGAGGGGCATGTGGTAAAGATTTTCTCCCAATCTCCCAATCTTTTCTCCCAATCTGCTCTCTCCCCACATTATTTTATTGTTTTGTTTGCTGAGAAGAAGCTTTTTAATTTTAATCCATCCCATTTATTGATTCTTGATTTTACTTCTTTTTTTTAATATTTATTTTTTAGTTTTTGGCAGACACAACATCTTTGTATGTGGTGCTGAGGATCGAACCCGGGCCGCACGCATGCCAGGCAAGCGCGCTACCACTTGAGCCACATCCCCAGCCCTTGATTTTACTTCTTGCAGTTTAGGAGTCTTATTAAGGAAGTCAGATCCTAAGCCGACATGATGAAGATTCSGGCCTACTTTTTCTTATATTAGGTGCAGGGTCTTTGTTCTAGTGCCTGTCTTTGATCCACTTTGAGTTGATTTTTGTGCAGTGTGAGAGATAGGGGTTTAATTTCATTTTTTATTTAGAGGCAAGGTCTTGCTAAATCAAAGCTGGCCTTGAACTTGGGATCCTCCTGCCTCTGCCTCGTGTCCCTGGGGTTACTGGTGTGTAATCTGACACAACAGCTTGTCGAATTAATTCTGGAATCTGCTAAGAGACACTGAGATGGTGCCCAAGAGGCTCCATGGTCCCTGAGTGTCACAGGACAGACTGGACGGGATTGGCAGAGGTGCGGTGGGCTAGGCTACATCAGCAAGGGACAGCCAGGTCTCTACTGCATGGGGCTTTTGGCCTTAAATGGGCAGTGCCAGGGAAGAGCAAGGTCAGGCCGGTTGTATTTTCGTTTTGTTTTGCTGTGGCTGGGGGGTGAGGAAGGGAGGGAGACTGAGGGCTGCCTGTCACGGGTTAAGCAGAGAGTGGAGTTCATTAACCACCGCGTGTCCCCGGGGACCAGCGCGGGGAGACCGGACAGCTCGGCTCTGATGGACAAGCGGGGCGGGGGCGGGGCTCCGGGCCCTGGCGCGCCACCCGGGACGCCCCGAGCGGAAGTGCCGTGACCGCCCCTGCGCGCGCCTCGCGAGCTCCGCAGAACAAAGCGCGGCCCTGCGGAGCGCGCCCCYGCGGCCGTGCCCGCGCCCCTCCGCGCGCGCCGCGTCCCCGCCCTCCGCTGGCCTCTGACAGCCAGGGCCTGGGCCGCAGCGAGCCGCGGGGCGAAGAGGCCGGGCAGGCGCGGAGGGAGGACCCGCCGAGGCCACCGAGATGCGACCGCGAGGCGCCCTGACTCTCCGCTCTGACTGCTTGCGCGCACGACGGGCGGAGGGCTGTGGCAGGGCTCTGACCGCSCGGGAGCCACGGCCCGCCACCCCAGCCTCTCCCGCAAGGCGCCCCGACTCGGTMGGCGGCGACGCCACCGCGGGCCCGCAGGTTCCGGCGGGGAGCCAGGACGAGGCCGGGCTGGCGGCGCGGCCACCCGCGGGTCTGTCCACCTTGGGACATTGGCCCCTTCGGTTGGGCCTCGGTACAGCTAGACCCTGCGTCCCTCCCCCCCCCTCCCCCGCGGCTTTGCAGGTTCCGCAGCCCTGGAGGGGCTGCCCCCTGTGAGGACACAGGACTCGGACCTGTTGTTGCTGAGCTCTGAATTTGTCTGGCTTCCAAGGCCGGAGAAACTGAGGTCAAGGTCTCAGGGGGCGCCTTTCAAGGAGCGAGGCTGCAGTCTCCCKGCGGGAGAGGATAGTAGTTCAGGAAGTGGGGTCCCTCTGTGACTAGGGCTCTTGAGGGCSGGAAGAAAGCATGGCCTGAGCTGGGCTGCAGGTCTGCACTGAGGTGCCCCCTCTGCTCCTTAAGCCCCAACCCCTTGCTGCTCAGCCCACCAGTTTGCCCTCCTGGGTGCCATGTGGGGAGAAGTGCCCCCTCCACGGGTTGTTCTGGACTAATTGATAAGCCAGAGGTGCAGTCTGTAAAAGGCAGGCCCTGCCCCCACACAGGCCTGGAGGTCAGGAGGGCAGATCAGAGACAAGCGGAAGCCACCACACAGTCCAAGGCCCCCAATGACTAGGCAAGGAGAGGGCTCATAGGAGCAGACATTCTGCCAACAATGAGAGGACCCACTCCAGGGCGCTCCTCACTGCCTTGCCTTGGCTCCTCTCGTTGAGATGAAGAAATTAAGGCCCAGGAGGGGAGGGGAGTCTGAATGGAAGAGAGAGAAGAGAGGGGTATGCACATTTTTTCCTCTAGAAGSAATCTAGGGGGAGAGACCTGGAAACTAGGGCCAAGGGAGGCCAGAAGTGCTGAGCAAAGACTGACTCAGAACCAAGGCCACAGTCCCCAGGAGCCTGGTGTTCCTGCTTCTGGCCTGCTGCCTGCCTAGCCTCTTCTTGGGGCTCTTTTCCTCACTCACAGCCCTCATCCCTGTCTGAGGACATCCTAGAAGCAGCCCCATGGCCCTGGAGCAGGATGCAGGCCCCCGAGTCCAGTGGGGCTGTGAGGGCTGGCCTTGCCCTCCAGGGCACCTGCTTTCCCATCTTGGCTCCAGAAGGTCCCCAGTGGAGACCTAGAAGAGACAGTGGGTAGCCCAGACGGTCTTACACACACACACACATACACACAGGCACTTTTGTACTCCGAGAGGATCCAGAGACAGAGGAGGCACAAGGCAGGGGTGACAGTCCCAGAGGGCCAGAGGACCAGGTTTCCCTCCTGTGAGCCTCCTGTCACAGTCAGCCCTGAGTTGCAACAGAAATAAGTCAAGGCCATGATGGTGCCTGTCATATGGCTCCTGCCACTCTAGCACCTGGAGCTATGGTGGAGGGTCACCTTTAGTTATCATTTTATTTTTGGTACTGGTGATTGAACCCAGGGGTGCTCTACCACTGAGTCGCATCCCCAAGCCCTTTTTATTTTTATTTTGAGACAGGGTCTTGCTAAGTTGCCCAGGCTGGCCTTGAACTTGCAATCCTCCTGCCTCAGCCTCCTGAGTTGCTGAGATCACAGGCATGTGCCACCATGCTCCATCACGGTGGAGGGTCAATTTTTTAAAGTGGTGATCTCATGGGCTAGAGAGAGACCAGACCCCA